CTTTTAGATAGTATTTTAATAATTATAATCCTTAGCTAAACTTTCAGCTTAGCTTTTTTTCCTCCCTTCTTTATTTAAAGATTTACTCATTTTAACTTTAAGCTAATCCTCCCTGAGCATTTAGCTTTTAGCTAGGGTTTTGCTTCTTTTGGCTTTACCAACTCAGTTTCAGCTCCTTTATCAATTCTTTGCAGTTATTCAGCACAGTTTTATACAGAAGCAAATTGATTTCATGGGGGGGAAATAAATTTCTGAAAACTATCACATTTGTACAATATAAATGTTACATTTATACAATATAATTATCATGTTTTTACAACATAATATCATGTTAGTAAAACATAAGTATATTGTACAAACGTGATATTGTTCAGATATTTTTTTCTCCATATCATCAATACGCTTCCATAATTTTTAGTGTTTTCATGCTGAATTTTTTTTCATTTATTATATTATTTTATTTTATTTATTAATTTTTAGTAATTATTTTTATTTATTTATTTATTTTTGTAATTTATTACCAGAATGTCAGGCTCTTAATTTTACTTTTTTAAGAATTATGAATAAATATAACGAAAACAGCATGTTGACCCTAATCTTAGTATTAGTTTAAAATCTTCTGCCATGAACACAGAAAAAGCTAACAAAGATTTTTAGTGACTGTCAATATGTTCACATGTATCCTTATTTAATATATTGTACTAATTAGGCAGCAAAATCAATGGTAATTGCATTTAGTTTTCAAATAAAAGCAGATAAATCATGTGGTGTATTAAGGTGGTTGTTGTTTTAATGCAGTAAAAATCAGACCATCTCACGTCGACCACTGAGCCTCCTCCAGTTCAACACTGATCTGACTGCTGGGAGGCAAAACTGGAACAACCACCTCCAACCATCCTTGTTTTTTTATTCTCCTTCCTGTTGTTTATTTGTGTGTCCATAAACCCTGTTATCTTTCTTGCATTTTTCATGTGCAAACACAGTTTGTGTGTGTGGCTTCAATTAATTGCAAAGCAGTGTGCTCTCAATGAGAAAAGCATTGGGCTTTTTTGTGGTGGCAGATTTCCCCAGAGAGGCTGGTGCAGGTCGTTCAGGCTATGAAGACTAATTAGGTTGGAAGAAGAAGGTTTAAATTAGGCATCAGAGTGGCATAGATACATGCAGCAGAAAATATTAAGTCTACCATCCCTTGAATACATGAAAATCACCTACCACCAGAGTCTTATAGATAGTCTTGGGCTGAAAATGAACTGAGCTCTGTGTTTTGAACAAACCTTTAAAGAACATTCTGGGATTCTGTGTAATCTGTTAGGGCTTGAAGTACGTGTTAGGGGTAACTCTCAGCTACTACCACACCAGGTTTGAACTCAGTATCTGTAAAATTGGCTGAATTGTAGCTCTTTTTGTGTTTTCTGAGGTTCGTGGCTGTTGCAGCCAACTTGAATTGGATTGACATCAAAGTTGAACCAGTTGTAAATCTTCATTTCACAATGATTTTGTGACAGTTTCATCACAAACCAGCTGGTGGTTCATGAAATGTTTTGCTAACGGACAGAAAAACACATGCAGACACAGGTAATTGAATAATTGCCCGTTTGCTTTGTAGTGTCTGGCAATAAATATATAGATATTTGAATTTTATTTCTAATAGTTAGCATTTTTACCATAAAAACAGACAACAAATGGGAGCTGTTAAGACAGTTTCTGGACAACATGTCAAGTTGGAAGAGGTTTTTGAGAATATTTGTGTCAGTTTTATCCACAAATGTTCTCTGCTCTTATGTTCCTGCTCTGGCCCCGCCCACCTGATGTCCCCTCACAGGTGTTACTCATCATGGTTCGTTAAGTTGGTCTTCACATCCCCTGTTGCTTTGCTTGTTTCTTTAGTTTGAAAGGGTACATTGAATATGTCAGTCACTGATGTAATCCCCACAAGTTTTGTTTGCTGCCACAGCAGCATTTTGTTTGTTTTTGTAAATAAATCATTTCAGATCTCGTACGACCTTTTACTATTACATGCATATGAAGATTTTCAGAAGCACTGAAGCTTGTTTTGAAAACTCAAAGCTTTCCCACAGTCTTCATTGGCCAATCTTGTAGCCAAAAGTACAAAGAGCAGCTTGAAACAACCCAAAATGAACTGATTTATCATGACAGAGTTTAATATGAGACATTTACGTCTATCAGGTTTCTGCTGCTTTGAACAGGTGTTTTTTGTGGGTGAAGAAATAAAGTTATGGTTGTTTATGGTTAATTATGATAAATACAATTTAAGTGATGCTCCTGTAATTTCTTGTAAACACAGTTCATATTTAAAAATCTGAACAAATTCACAATATGTTTTGAAATGATGCTTATGCTGCCAGTTCTCTACCATCATGACATTATTTATTCAACCAATTTATATTTACTTCACTTGTTCTTTTAAACTGGTAAACTAAACACAAAAGACCGTCTGACTTCATGTCTCGCTACAACTGGTTTGTTATATGTTTTTACAAATTTGCCACCAAATTACTATGAATCCAGCAGATGATTCACCTCCTCATAAACATTTGAATCAGGTATCAGTGATGTAACTTCAGCACTTTTGAAGCTTCGGACACTGATCACGTAACTTTTGCCAAACAAATCAAGCTCCAACATGTCATACATGTGCCAGAGCTTAAACAGCCTATCAATAGCATGTTTATTAACACAACAATAGTTTTTTCTTTTTTATTTTTTTATTTTATTTTTATTTTTTTGAATAACAGTGTTTCTACCTTCGGGACAGTAGCACCTGGGCCCTGCCAGGCTGCTGAAACAGGTGGCTCCATGTCTGCAGGGCTCAGAGAGGCAGTGGTCCACYAGAAGCTGGCAGCGTTCGCCCTCATAACCTGCACACATCACACATCAGAACATCAGAGCAACAACATACCGTCAACATTTTGGAGGATATGACCAACAATGGTACTTTTCTATTTTTAACCCTCGTACTGCTCACAAGGCCTCAAACTGAGGCCTTTTGGGTCAGTTTGACCCGAGGGCAGCAGGAGAGTTAAATGGAAAAACTGTGTAAAGGTGTTTAATCCCTGTAAGTGATGTTGTTCATCAGTTTGTCAGGATTTTTTGAAAATCTCTCAAATGTTTACTTTGAACTTTGCCTGATTTATTAGTATTATTTTTTATTATTATTTAATGCTCAGTTTTGTACAGCACTACTTGAAATTCTTTCAGAAAACCAAAAGTTCTAACAATGGAAATCACTTTCAAATGGGCAATATCATGTAAAATCAATTTTTTTTAGTTTTATATCATGTCATAATGTCACACTCTCATAAAAAAACATGCCCAAAGCCTTGCTCTGACTCATTTATGCATGTTTGAGAAATCCTGCAGCGATTTTAGGCAGCCATGCTGAGGAGCAAAACGACAGGTGGGGACCAGAAACGCCCCCTGGGACGTGTCTTTAAGCTGAACTTCCTCATGGAAGAGCGCACACACCCCCCTCCCCACACACCCCGCCCTTGACTCCTGCAGGCTCTCGGGTAAAAGTGAAAGTAAAACCTAACTGTCTGCTGAGCTCTCAACATTAGTTCTCACTCAGTGAAGCTCTTTTCAGATTAAAAATACCTTTGAGGAAATGTATTTTCAGATGCCAAGTAAACTGCATCATGCCCCCCCCCCCCCCCCCCCCGGGCGAGCACGACCCCCACACCGAAATGGGCAAAACGGAAGCGGAAGGTGGTTCTTAAAGAGACAGAGGCCAATTTCAAGGCGATTAGAAGAGGAAGTAATGAGAAGATAAGTTTATTTACTATTTAAACATAAAACCAGCATTTTAATAACAACTAAAGGTGGCATGGATACTTTATTATAGTATAGTATTTAAATATATGCCTGAGAAACACATAATATTGGCCCTTTAAACAAAACATTCAATCTTAAACCATCATCCAGAGGCATAGGCTAAAAACTGTATTGTATTTTGCTTTTACTGACAGACTATAATGAATTACTAAACAAAAACACATTTTAAGATAGAATTTTCTGACTGAAGAAATCAACAGTCTGAAGCTCTGATCAAACCAGCAGAGACCACCCAGTCAGACTCCAGCGGTTCTTTTTCTAGCAGACTGGAAAACCAACCTCCGGTGGGGCTGAAGAAAACCATCTGAAAATGCACCACGGGCACAAACCCACCTGGCTGGCAGGCGCACGTGAAGTTTTTCCCCTCTCCTCCTTGCCTGACGTCAGCGCAGGTGCCATTGTTGCGGCAGGGTCTGCGGTGGCAGGCGTCGAACTCCTCGCAGAAGATCCCAGTGAAGCCATCCTTGCACTCACAGAAGAAGGTGCTCTGCGGGTAAGGATCATGCACAAGTTTCGCACGTTTAGGTGCAACAACGTCAGGGAAAAGAGAGGAAAAACTCGTGAAAGTGAAAGGCTGAGTTTGATCTCTGTAAAAGAATTCAGTGACACTTCAGACACAAAAGTGCCACATTCTGCCTTTCTCATCTAACAGATGTGTTATGCTCAAAAAGTGAATAAAAGCAGACGTGTTTATGGAAATCACTGCCTGTTTAAAGATGCAGAACAAGCATCTGATAAAGATATTTAATCATTTGTGCCCATTAGCCTTTCCTTTAGGGATATAAAACCCAAATCCTTTTTTAAACACAAGGATTAGACTTGATTCCTTGTTCATTTTCTGTTCCGTTAGAATTTAATTAAGATTTTCAACATTTTAAATAAATATCATCTTCATCAGAGCTGCTGGGACTTGTTGTTCTGGTGGGCTGCAGCCCGTCAGCATGTGTCTGCTTTGGCATTGAGGTGCAAAATGCAGAAAACTGACATGAATAAATCTGGAACAGAACACTAAATAAACACATTTACTCACAAAAAGTATAACAAAAAATATGCAAAACACGTTTTTGTGTATGTTTTATTTGATTGGTTTAACACATTTAATTCCTGTGATAAAGATTCGTGTTTGTTTACAATGTGAGCACTTTCTGGTTTGGATGGGATCCAGTAAACAGGAGCACCTGCGGTTATCATCTGCACAATATTGCTAAAGTTGAGATTATTGTGTTGCAAAGTTGTGCAAAACAATGGTCTGTTCATTTATCACTCATACCTCTGTAATTCTTTATAATCAGGGAGTTCAAAAGTTCTTAAACACTTTATGCAAATATAAATGTGTAACTTTCTCACAAACACAGCTGAAATGCTGACAGCTTTTAAATACTCACAAATTTAGAACTATAAAGGTAATGTGCTGCAAAATTCTTGTACTTTGCACTTTTATTGATATACAAAATAAAACAGTGGATTCAGTCTATTCTGTTTGAAACATGATTCGGGACCAGTTTTTTATTCACTGCTTCCAATATACCTTTTTCAGAGCTTTGAATAAAATAAGCAATATTTCACAAAAACAGCAGATACTCTCTTTGTGTTACCAGTATGATCAGCCCTCCATTATTATCATAAAACGTTATTATTTCAGATTCAAGTAAAAGAAATAGTAAGGCTGAGCACCAGTTTCAGTATAAAAACTCGTAGTTTAAATTTTGCATGACGTTGTCCTTGTGTATGCAGTCTGTGTGAAAGTACACAGTCAGCAACCAGGAGTAAAGTTCTGTATTTGTTGTGCTTTTGGAACAGTTGTAGTGTCTTTGTGTTGAAAATATTGTGTTTAGATGATGAACTGTGTTCGGCGTGGATCTCACCTCTGAGGGCTGCGTGACACATTTCCCTTTCCCGGAACACTGAGGGTCACTGAAGCTGCTGCCGGGCTCCACGCAGCTGCTGGCCTTCACCGTCAGGTTGAGGCGCAGGGTGACCTCCGGGGCTGTGGGGGCGCCCACACGCATCACACCTACCACAGCGGAGGAAAGGGCAGATTTGAAAGTGTAATCAGGAAATCCCTGATTTAGGAGTTGGTTGTGTTTTGGTGGTGAGGTGTTTGACGGAAGGACGGCTGGAGTCACACAGTGTGTGTTTTCCTGTCACCCCACTGTGGATCTTTAAATTACAAGCCTCTCATTTTTTATTACTGTGTTCAATCACACCTGACAGGTCCACGGGGCTGGTGTTTGGAGCCTGATCTGAGCCCAACAGAGACGGGAGTGATGACGTAAATATGCCGACCAATCAAAGCAGAGATGAGTCGTTTAGTCCCCTGATTAAATGATCGTCTCCACAATGACATCAAAAGTTGGAGCTGCAGAGTCATTGCTCTTTTAGACTTTAAAAGCCAATAGCCAGAAGAAATCTACAATATTGTCATCACAGGAGGAAATGTTCATCTTGCATGATTAAGCTGAAAACTTCCCTAAATAAATAATGTCTCACGAGTTGACCTTCATTTTTCCTCTCCTGCATGTTCTTGTTTCTCCATCCTCCCCTCTAATCCCATCCTGCTTTGTCATTTTGCCTTTAGCCCCTCTTTATCTGCCCCTCTCTCCCTCTCTCCATTATCCTCGCTCCCTCTCCTGGTTTAACTCTCCGCCCATGTCCTTCCCTTTCTAATGCAGCTGCCACAGAGGTAACACACATGAAGGTCAGCAGCCAGACAGGAAGTAGGTGAAAACAGCTTCAGGTGTGGCGCCGACACAAAAAAGGTCAATTACCCATCCCCTTGCACCCATTTCAGCTTATACAATCATTTGTGTCTCTGAGGACATAAAAACACACTGCAGCTGGGGATTTGGTTTTTAATGGTGTCCTCGATGCTGATAAAGTACACACACCTCCACATTCATCCCACAGCAGGATGATGAACAAGTTATTGAGAATTTATTTGGTATAAAAAAAGAACAAGGAGTCCTTGATGTGACGTCATCACCCACACTTCTCTGACTTCAACATCTCTGATCACATGAAGAGACACGACTATCTGAGCAGAAACAGTTTGTTCTTCAAGATGTTTAGAACAACAAACCTGATGAAATCCTTTAAAAAAACTCTCTGCAGTTGTACCAACAAGAGAAGCTGTTGTTCAGACGAAAGGCTCTTCCTGTTAAATATTGATTATTTTTCCTTCTGTCATCACACCTTTTATTGCTAAGTGACAAAAAAATCAATTAAAATGTACCTTTTTGGTTCTTCATCGTATTGCTTTATCTTAGAGTTGCTTAAAACCTTCATACAGTGCTTTACATCGCAATTATTCATTAAAAAAACCAAACACTCGGCTGTTTGAGGCAATAACCAAGCATTGACTGCAGCCATGTATGAAGTTGTACATTTTTGCTCTGTTTGAACTCAGAAAGTAGAGGCTCACTGAGGAAGTAGTTCTGTCCCAGAGGCAGCAGCTTGTCCGACACCACCAGTCCGTCGGGGGCCTGCAGGAACCACATGGTGGTCCCGTTCAGAATGGAGGAGCGCAGGAAACCGTCCTCACTCACACGCCACAGCACCGGAGCACCGCTGGTGTTCACCACCACCCTGAGACGGACAACAAGGGAAGGAAATAAGGACAGAGATAGACAATAAGAAACATCGATGATAATAAAAGGAAAGATAATCATGGGCTCTACAACGTAGTTCAATAGGTTTGTAGCTGCATCTTCAGCTTGTTCTGTTGTGTTTGGTAGATTATTTCTTGTTGTAAAAATGCTTCATGACAAAAAATCTTACACCATTGGAAAGCCTGTTAATTTCCCTTTTGAATGGTGCCACATTTGTAAGGAACATGCATTTGTGGGATGAGCAGCAGAGCTCAGTATGTGGGTTGCGCAAATAAAAAAACGCCAATCTCTACGAAACAGTTTTTTTTTTTTTTTTTTTTTTTGCTGTAGTGTGGTATATTTTCATGTTCTGTGCCTTTAAGACGGGACACAACAGTAGCTACTGACATTTGTTTCTGGTACCCCAGGTCACGAGTATTTATTACCATAACTATTGTTACATCAAAGAAATAATCTTATAAACATAAATGTCCTTACATTTTGTGCTAAGTTTTATGTTCCTCTGAGAAAATGAGTTTGTTTAATCTGCTGTGTGCTGCTCTGTAGTGTCTGCTCCTCTATTTTAGTTTGTTAGTTCAGATGTTTTGTGTGTTTCTGTGAAAAAAATCTGGAACAATTCACTTTTATCATCTAGATAGCTTTATGAACTCCCTCACGTTGGTGAAATAGTTTAATTCTGATCAGATTGAAAAGCTAATGGCTAGTTCACAACCTAAATGGATTGTTACCATGTTTAAAAAATCCAAACTTTTAATGGCAGATTTTATGGCAGTTTATCAAAATCCTACTTTATAAAGCTTTAACTTGCCATCACTTATTCATGACATRATTGTTTTAGTTAAAATCCTTTTCTAATAGCTCCAGATTGGCWTGTTTTCAGGGAGGTTATTTGCAGATTTATAGTTTTGTCTTCTAGGCCAGTGTTGGCCCTGTTGTTCTATTTATGGATGTTTTGTTTGTTGCAATTGTTTTACTCTGCCTGAAGCTATTTTTTATTTTATTTTTTGTGAGTATATGGAAATCTATARAAGTAGAGACTTCATAGATCTGGTCTGACAAGTTATTAACTGTCAACAAAATCAACCCCTATTTGGACAAAATTAGTTTGGATTTTTAGAGCTGTGATTCTCAAAACAAAAGCAGATGAATTTGCCAACATAGGATATCTAAGTGGAGGAGAAAATGTTTTTAACTTTATAGACAATGGTTTTCAAGCAATTACAAGTTCAGGTTCTTATCAAATAAAGGACTAGACTGCACCAGCTGCTTGTGAAAGATGAAGAAAAAAACTGAACTGAGCTGGATCTCTCACAGAAAACCTTCATGAAAGACAGATGGTGGCTCGGAGTTTGTTTCTGTCAGCTGTGGTTGGAAGGAAGATGCTCTGCAGCTTCAGCGTGACGTTTAAATGACAGCAYCTCTAACCCAACTCCCACTCTGAATTAATCTATCCCACATTAACCAAAACAAATAAAACAACCTGTTATTATCCTCTCACCTCTTTTGCTGTTGTGCTTTTTTTTTCTCCTAATGAGTGTTTACAGCTTTAAAGAGCTGTGATTAGTATTATTAGCTGTACGGCAGAAACAGGCCTCACACAGAAAACGAGGATTAAAAATGGGATGGTTGTTTTTTATGTTTGTTTATTATTGACTCAATCAAATCAGACTCCTAATATCAGAAACTAAAKGTTTCTTATAAGCTTATGAAACAAGAAAAATGATGATTTGCTGCATTTAAATAGGTGGATTACAGGTGTCAAAAGTGCTGCAGTGAAGAGAGAGCAAAGCATGAAGCTGGGCCTGCAGTGTGAGTGAAATATTAATCTGCTGGTTTGGCTACTTGAAGCTGAAATGAGTTTTCCTTTGCAGGGTGTCTGCGCTCAGCTGGAAGGGCAACATGTGGAGCTCAGATATCTGGGGGGAGCTTCATCTCCTTCACCTCTAAAGCAGCYGTGTGATGCATCAGTARCTTGAATTTTATTTGYGACCATTTTCAATTGATCAGATTGGAATGTRGCCTCTTCAACCATATTTGATCACAAATAAGAGTGTTTCTGCACTGATGGTACTAGTGCTGCCGCATGCAAGTTTGTCTCCTCCACAACCCCGCGTGTCAGTGTGTGTTCAGGTACTGGGTGTAATTATACAGTATGACAACAAAGCAGCAGAGGCTGATTAACACACAGCTCGGAGCTCCTTGTCTGAGATCGTCACCRGAGCCCTGCATCGTGCCGCTCATCTATAATGAGAACAACTTCAAGGACGTCCAACATTCACCTTGACCATTTCTCATGCATTATTCATTGACTCTTATTTACCGGCAATTGCGATGCTGTCTTAGGRCATTACAGCTTTTCAAAATAATAATACTCAAAAGGGAACCCATGCCACCTGCCGCCCTTCATACCAGAGCAATGAACTGAAGTCATCCTGTGATGAGACAGGACAAAGTTAAAGCTGTTCTAGTTAAGCCTCATGCAATCGACTTTACAAAATCTGTTAGCGCTCACAGAATGTGTTCCGATCTGCTACTACCACACTAACTTTTTATCTGTAAAAATGAAAGGCGGGCAATAACTTCTGTAATTCTTAAGGCATCAGGTTTAGTGTCTCCTCTAGCTTCACTTTACTGCTCTCCACAAGATGAAAGAACCAGATTCAGTAGCAGCACTGTCTTGTTAATTCCCTGTAAAAGTAGGGTGGGTTTGGTACATCTGTCAATCTCTTTTGACACACTTTGTCTCCACAGTTGTGGGGTTGGCGCATTGCATTGTGGGACTCAGGCTGGTCTTTTTTCAGCTGAAAAATGTTGTGGATTTTGGCAGTGRAAATCCAACTTGAACATGTACATAACAGGGTGTAGTTCAGGGTTATTCAAGTAAGTTGYTCAGGGSGCCACAGCTCAGGGGCCGGASATCTGAGAGATGTGAGGTAGGGTGTTTGTCTGACAATGGTATGGGGACTGCATTATGTAAAAGAATAAGTATTATTGTCTTTTACCTTTTTTGCACTGAATCATAAATTTAAAAATTACAATTGATTTATAATTTATTTTTATATTGAATTGAGTCAGGCCAGACGGAAGACACCTGCGTGCCAGATGTGGCCTGCAGGCCATCAGTTGAATAGCCCTGGTCTTCTTCTTAGCTAAATCAGTTTGCACTGATGGTGTAGTTGGTGGTTTTAGATATAGGAATATTAAGTTCACTTTTTCTTCAGCTGTCTCCAAACGCAGGGGCTGCATCAATTGAAGGCAGACTTTGAAGGCTGATTACATCACTACGATGGCTGTCCATATTCAATGGATCTTTCAGTTATGACTCTTTTGCCTCGATTTGAGGGACAAGTCTGGTGTATCCTTCTAAGCCCAACCTATCCTAAGATGCATTGTGGGCCATCCGGGAAATCTTTTCTTGCTTTTTTTATTTTTATTTTTTGTTTGTTTTTTGCTTGTAATGGTGGACAAAGCAAGAGACAGGAGTACAGTTTTAAATTAAAATCTGGTGGTACAATAATTGATTGTTTAAAGCGGCTGTGTTGTTARGCTTTTGTCATTTGCTTAGACATTGTTGTAATATTCCTGCCAGAAGTCATCGTAAACAAGCTTGTATTTATGTATTGCCTCTAAKCTAACTGTCAATTTATCATATTAATGATATTAATATTTTGCAACTTTCAATCTGTTTTCAAACTTGATTAATTGTGTTTAGTACCATCGCCGTTGTTAGACGACAGGACATACACCGGGGTAAGGGTGGGAATAAAGCTGAAGGCTGGACTATCCATAGTCACAACCAGTTTTTTCCTGTCTTTGCGATTGACAAAAGACCTGGCACACAGTGGGCCTCATGCAAGAACGTGTTTGTATTCTTATCCTAAATGTCTCTTACTTTTGTTTGTACGAAGGGTTCGTACGAACATGCCACATCAGATTCAACAAACTCTTCTATCTTCAGGAAAAGTGTGTAAATGAAGAGCGTAAACTGATGAATGCGTATCCAGCTGCTCGTGCACAGGGAGAGGTGATTTACATAATTACCCCCCCAAAAACACCATATAAGGATATATGTTTCCTGCCACACATACCAGGAAGAGTTCATTCATGAATGACATYGCAAAGTAAAAATGAAGAACTTTACGAGTTCGGAGATTGAAGTTCTTCTCTCAGAGATTCACAAAAAAAGTAATTTTTAGCAGCGTCAGCTGTGGAATTAAAGGATCTGCTTTAAACCGGAGGAATGAAATGATGACTGCTGTTAATGTCGTGTCTCCTGTGGGTCGTACAGTCAGAAATAAAAATCTAAATCATATTTATCTCTCTCTGTAGTCCTGCTCTGGTTTTTCTTTGGTCAAATATTTTTAATTTCAGTGTAAACAACTGTGTTACATAGCTTTCATTTTTTCAGAGGAGCGGTTGCGCACCGCTAACCACCCCCCACCCCCYAGTGTCAGATACGTTTCTGAAAAAAACATTTTAAAATGTCTCAAAACTTCAATTAACTTCATAATAATATTGTAGTGCTATACAACAAAATTGAAAGCACATTTATTTTAATTTAACCAATTAATGCCATTAGTCTACATTATAACATTTAAAATTATAACCCTAATTCAAACAGAACAGACTCTTGTCAACATAATTATAGAGTGTGATTTATTTTCAACTCGAAATATMTTCAAGCTAACGAAATATAAAGTGGATAACAGCAGACTGACTGCTCGTAAAATATACGACAGGTCTGGACCACTCGTGAATTTTGTTCGTATCTGAAAAAAAAATTTTAAAATACGAAAACATTGGTGAATGCCACAAATTCTCCTAAATCACTCGTACACACAACTTAAGAACGAATCTGTGCGTATGAACGGTTCTTGCATGAGGTCCATTGTGTTTGGTGCAGTGTGCAGTCTGGTCCTTCAGAAATTGCAGCCCCTGAATTTGGACACAGCCTTTAAATATGGCTGAATAGAGGTAGAACAAAAGGCCTCAGACTTTCAGAGTCAGTGGTAAGAGGTCAGGTGTTTAGTGTAAACTTTTATATGTTTACATATAGGTGTTTGAATTTAAACTCTTCTGAGTGAACTTAATCAAACATTCTGACTGTTTTTTGTTTTTTGTTTTTTTGGTTTCTGAACCCACAGAATTGGTTGTTTCCAAACACGAGTTTGATGAAAAGTCTGAAATAAARCAGAGAAGGATCTCAGCTCATCTTCCTCCAACACTGCATGAAGAGGACAGTTATGTGTTCTTACTTCACAGCGGTCTCTTCAGGCACCTCCACGGACAGAGTGAGGGTCCCTGATGTCAGCTCACACAGCTCAGGGCTCACACAGTGCAGACCCTCCATCACCTGAAACCCACACACAGCATGAGCTCCTCAGACGTTTGGAAGAGAAATCTAACGTTGTTACATGATGAGTGCTCACTCTGTCTGCCTCCCACGGCACAACCAGGAGCCTCTGCCCTGGTTTGGGTTGCCATGTCTGCAGGGTCGGCGGTGCAGGAGTGGTGGTGGTGCTTGGGACTGTGGTTGGTCGCAGTGGCTGAGCAGCAGCTGTCGTCGTGGAAGTTACCGGGGTGGCCGGTTCGGGAGCGGAAGGGGTGACGGGGTCCCAGTCGGCGGGCGGCAGGTCTAACAGGATCTGATCGCACCTCTCTCCCTCGTAGCCCTCGGTGCACTCGCACAAATACGCCGATTCCCCCTCCTCCCTGCCGTCGCCGCTCCGGCTGCAGTTACCATGGAGACAGGGGCTGCTGGCACAGGGGTCTGTGAAAAACTGAGATAATGACGGAAACAAACAACAGAAATGCAGAAAACAAAGTGTCAGAGAAGAAACACATCAATATTTGACTTTGTTCATCCCTCCTGAACTCTGAATCTCAATGTACACGAAAACACAGAATGTTACAGTAAAATGGAAAACTACCTTTTTAAATCTAATATCCATTTATTAAATGAGTAAATACTGTTTTGGGTGTCAGGTGCAGCTGTATTGTCCTGGCACATCCAGTGAACTGAATTTACAAACTGCAGAGWGAATTCAGCATTTAATGTTGCTTTGATGTTTGCAAGCCAAAAAACTGACTAATTAACTCAAAATAACAATGCCAAAGAGTAATTTATTACAACAAAATTGGGGAAAAACATGTTTTTGTACTATTTATTTGAATAAGTAATTACTTTTCTAATCAGGAGTAAGAAGACGTTAGGATTGGAACCAGTGGATACCCACTGCTAATTTCCTGGATTCTCTTCTGACGCCAAATTACTTTTTCTAGCTTTTACAAACTGAGACTAACTCAAGTAATTATGTACATGCTTTATAAAATCCAAGGTTTCTGGTTCTGGAGGTGCTTTGACTAATGTAAATTGGAGCAACAACAAGAACAAAGACATGGGGACTGATGGGATGGATGCTGGTCAGGGACAGGGTTGGCTGGGGGATCAGTGTAAAGTACTCCAGGTTGGATCTGTCTAGCTAACTGAGAAGTTTTAACCATAAGACTTTTTCCAAATGGACAAAAAAAAAAGGTGATAGCTGATCTGTAAGATGAAGCTCTCTTTTTATTGATCAGTCTATGTTCCCTCAACTACCACAAACTCTGGGTAGTAACCAAAAGATGGTGGATTCAAGGACTCTAAAGTGCTTTGCAGTTGTTCTCCCATTCACAACACATTCACACACTGATTGTAGCCACAGCTGCTCTGGGGCAGACGGACAGAGGCGAGGCGAATTATTCATTATCTGCTAAATGCTATAATTAATCGTGATTATTATTTTTGCCAATATCACCCAAAGATAACTTTTTTTTTACAGGGTAGCTGAATCTTCCTTAAAGATAAACAGAGAAGTTCAGTTCTGCTGCTCCTCCCCAGTTTGAGGAGAAAGTTGTGACGGTTCATGTTTCTGGTAGGAATGCCCCCAGGACACCTACTTTAGTTTGGTTTGGTTGGTCTGACTGRGAGGAGACCCCAGCAAAGACCCAGGACACACTGGAGAAGCTGGAAGTTGAATACTGGAAAGAGGCGGCTGCTCAAGCTGTTGCCTCACAACCCAACAATGGATCAATCACACAAATAAAATGTTTCACTCTGATCCCATCAGATGTAAGCACATGTACAATGTCACATTCTGCTGTTTACAGCCCCTGTAGTTATTGCTGTTTGCCTGTGTGTTTCATATAAAATGCAGCATAAATCTATTTCTTCTTTCAATCTGCAACTGTTACAGAGTGGTTATACTGAAACCCAAACACACACGCCTGCGTTTCATCTTTAAATTAAGTTTCTGCTCACTAAATGTCCCGGGGTGTTAAAATGCACCTTCACAGCCTCCTTCATGCCATTTTTTTCTCATCAATAACTGATCCTGTTTGGAGAAAACCAAATACGTTTGTGGAAAAGGAGAGAGAAGACAAAGCTGAGAGGACAAAGCCGACACTGTTCTTTTTCCCTGGATTACTGAGCATACTTAAAACTGCCCATAATCTTGTTGCTTCTCCTTTTTTTTTTTTAGTTTTTGTTTTTTTGTGAATCAACCAAATCAGTATGTGCAGGCCCAGCCATCAGAGAAACAAAGCGAGTCCGAGCAGAGACATGGTGACGATGCTCGTGTCCAACTCCCTGCTGCATRCAGATGTGAGAGTGTGAGCGCTCTCTGCTGAGAGAAACAAAGAGTCTAACAGCCTGTTTTCTCACAGCTCATTACTGCTAATCTCTGTGAAGTTTTTACTCCTCTGACGAAGTTTCTGTGCTCTCTCTCTCTCTCTCTCTCTCTCTCTCTCTCTCTCTCTCTCTCTCTCTCTCTCT